ACATTTTTTAATAATGTTAAAATTTTATTTCAATTAATAATTAAGATAATTTTATATTTGTATAGGTGAATAGTTAGAAATTTCACTTTTTCAATTAAATATGTTAAATAAAAAATTCTGACTGGGAGGTATTTGTAATTTTCCAAACTACAGGGGGCCAATTCGTATTTTAAGTAAACCTTTGTTGTTCTAGAAATTACATTATGCCCTCTAAGGTTTCTAATTTCATAACAAATAAGTCATTTTATAAATAAATCATCAAGTTAATTAACATTTTTTAATAATGTTAAAATTTTATTTCAATTAATAATTAAGATAATTTTATTATTGTATAGGTGAATAGTTAGAAATTTCACTTTTTCAATTAAATATGTTAAATAAAAAATTCTGACTGTGAGGTATTTGTAATTTTCCAAACTACAGGGGGCAATTCGTATTTTAAGTAAACCTTAAGGAGTGTATTTGTAATTTATCCAAAAAATTATTATATTTTTTTCGGAGATAAGTATATTTTTCTGAAATTTATAAATACATATAATTGTCTTTTTCAAGAGGTTGTTTGTTTAGTTTGTATCTCAAGATACAATTTTTAATAAAAATTTTCAAAAAAAAAATTTTGGTTTAATTTTTTTTAAAAAAAATTCCAAAATCACTTTTTCTTTCCTTCACATCATTCATTCACTTTTTTGGGTGATTTGGGATGATCTAAATAAGTGTACTTTTTAACTTTTTATGAAATATGGGTTGAGTATGGGTTGTCTTTAAAGTGATATGATAGAGAGGTGATGTAACTTAAATAGGATAGTGATTTTTTAACTTTTTTAGGTTATGACAAACAAGGCCATCTATCATCTCTCATTCTCAATTTCTTTTTTTCTCACACACATTTACTCAACTACAATAAAATATCAAATCATCCCAAATTTCAAAAATATTTTCAAAATATACAACTAAACAAATCAAAAAAAAATTAAACTCCTTTCCCAAAAATTTTTTAAAAAAATTATTTGAAAACACAAACCAAACACTTGCCTCTTCAATGAATCGTCAATATCAATTTGGAGAGGGAATAAACTATAATGAGCTCTGTTGCTGTTCATGAGACTTCTATTATTACGTTTTAAAAAAAAAAAAAAAATGAGGACTTCTATTATTAGGTTAAATCCTTTACAAATCATGAAATGTTGTTAGAGTTTTTGCTTTAAAATTCAATTAGATGTGATTGCACTCATTGCTCAGAGATGGGCCTCTCTCTCCTTTAACCCAATATTTTTTTTTTATTTTTATTTATTTATTTATTTATTTAAAGATTGGGTTGATATGGATAGTTTGATCAATGCTATTCTCCTTGGATTTTTTTTAAGGTTAAATTTTTTTCAAATTTAAATTTGAGAACTTGAGGGGTTTGTGAGACTCATTACGGATCTCGTTTTGATAATTTTAATTATTCATTTTGTAAAGTCTTTCGTGTATATTATTCATAAAAAATATTAGGTCGATTAGATAATTGTCTTTCATTTTATAGTATTTATCTCTAAAAAAATAGATGGTCTATTTTTAAAAAATATATTTGTTTATTTTTTGAGAGACAAATGTAATAAAATAAAAAGATTATGAATGTCAAATCGGTCTAATTTTTTTCATAGATGATACATATTGAGAGCCTTATAAAATGAATGAGTTCGATTTATTGAAACAAGATCCATAATTGGCTCTACGAGTCCCTCAAATTCTCTTAAATACATATTTATGAATCAAGAAAATGACAAACCTTTATTTTACTAATAGAATCATCTTGTTAAGGCCTAAGAGTCTAAAAAGATTATGTATAGTTTTGGGGCAATTGTTTGTCGGTTGGAGAGTCTAAAAATAATTACACTAAATATTAAATTATTTTAGTTTTAAATTGATACACATAAAAGTCTTTTAGTATTTAGTCCATTTGATATTTTTCTAATAAATTTTCATTGCTTCGGAGCGGAGTTCGTTTATAAGAGGATTCATTAGTTTTGGAGTTTTTTTTTTAAAAAAAAGATTAAAAGATTTTAAATATTATCTTATCACAAAATTGGTTTGCACTCATCTGGAGGGAGAGAAATTTTCAAAAAGCAAGGCGTGACATTAAATAATTTGTTTGGGATATGGATTGACTTTTTGACTATTTTAGTATAGAGTTAAAAATTAGTCTCATTTGGAATAGATTTTTTAATTTTTTTTTTACTTTTGTGAGAAAAAAAATAAAATGATTATAGGTTGGATGTGATGTTTTACCTTACTGGGCTAAAAAGTCTATTTTATCTTTTTATGGCTAAAATAATCAAAAAATCAAAAAGTCTAATATGTCAAATGAAGGCTTATATGAGATCCAAGCAGGGGTGGAAATTAACCAATGGCGATAAAAAATAAAAAAATAAAAAAAAATTGGAAAATTACCGGATAGAGGAGTCAAGAAAAATAATTATAATTATAATTTTTTTATTAATATATAATTAATTTTACGACTTCACTGCAGTCTAATTGTTGCATTTATTATTTATTTTTTATTCAAATTGTTCCATTTATATTTTGCCAGACAAATGCCGGAGAAACACCACTATTTTTAACTGGCCCACCCAGAACAAAGCCTCCAATATCTGAAGAAGTAATCATCAAATCCAAATAAAAATCTCAAAAAAGGAAGTAAATGCCCGTTTGTTTTGGGTCAAGAAAAGGAGACAAAGATTTATAATGAGATAAAATTTATTAATATCATGTTTGTTTTAAGAGATGCAGTAGAGATTTGTAATCCTATTTAAACTATTTATTTCCTTGGGGAGGGGATTAGGATAGACCCGTGGGACTTATTATTTAGAAATTAGTCTGTCGGATTATTTTTTTTTATTTTTTTAAATTTTTTTTACATGTTGGCATTTTTTTTTTAACATTAATGTTTAATTTTTTTTTATTTTTTGTTAAGTAAAAATCATTATTTGATTTGTTTTATTTTTTTTTTTGAAATTTTTCATTTTTTATTTTTTTTTTATTTTTTACATGTTGGCCATTTTTTTTTTGAACATTAATGTTTAATGTTTTTGTATTTTTTTATTTGTTTTATTATTTTATATAAAAATAATTTAACAGTCCTACACCAACAACTATCATCAAAACAAACACAATTTTATTTAATCCCCTCACTAACAATCCCCTTACTATAAATCTCATTCATTCTACCTCTAAAAACAAAGGGGACCTAAACACTTTGGGCGGACTGGTGGTCTGGTCTATGAAAAATTATTAGGTACTCTTACACTATTATGCGATCATATTCTCTCATTAATTATTATTTATTATATTTTCTTATGTTATTTAATTATTCAACATAAATAATTAGGGATATTTTTTTTAAGGTCCCTGATATTATGATTTTATAGTATAAAGAACATCAAATATTTTCATGATGTCTAAGGTCCCTCAATATCAATTTAGAGAAAATTGATCCAGAGAAAATTCAAGTCAGAATTTCTCTGGACTTCCCTAAACTTCCCACTATAAATTTCACTGCCCTTTTTTTTTTTTTGAACATTAGAATTCCCCTACCTCAACTCATTTCCCTGCTTCTCAAAGGTGAGGAAGAAAGACAACAGTACAATATTATATACGTACTTTTACGAGCAGTCACCACTAACCAACCCAACTAACCCACTCCCTCAAAATAATAATTTAAATATGATCAACAATGGATTGAGGGAACCAATCACATATAATAAAATAAAATTCAGAAACATCACCTTGATAATACCCAATAACATATCTAATAATCACCCTTTTACTACTTAAAATAAGAAGAAGAAGAAAGAAATGCATTGTGGTAAGAGAACCACATTTTTATGTTTCACAAGCAGTCTCATTCAAGCTTGGGCTACTACTACTACTTCAGATTCTCTCTTCACCATTGTACCATTACTCTCATGAGCAACCTCATGACATTTGGGTTCTTCTTCTACCTTTGCACTGCTGTCACCATTCTCCCTTGAAGTATTATATTTGTCGTTGTCACCATCATCATTTAAAGCTGCATCTGTACTTGTTTGGTGGTGGACGAGGATTTCCTTGGTCCAACTGTGTAACTTCTCTATAGTATCCTCATTTGCTTCAGAGAAAATTGAGTTGGTCCAGAGAAATTCTCTGAGTTGAACTAGTGCTCTGCTTCAGAAAAAATTGAGTTGGTCTAGAGAAATTCTCTGGTTTTGTCCAGAGAAATTCTTTGGTCCAGAGAAATTCTCTGGTTTCCAAAGTTTCCACATATTATTATTAAAAACAGCTGCTAATGCAATTCACATTCGGAGAGTGGATGGACAAGTGAACAAGGCGGTGATGGCTACAAACAAAAGGGCAAAGCTTGCGATTCAACATCAGGGGGTGGTTTGGAGATGCAACATGACATAGAGGTTGACGATGGAAATAAGATAAATGAAAAACTCTATGCTAAAAAATCTTAATATCAGGGACCAATCCAGAGAAAATTTCAATCCAAATCAAAGAAATTTCAGTTCAAAGCAGAGGCCTGACCAGTTCCTGGAGATGAAATTTTATCTGCTCCAGATAACCCATCTTATGAATTTGTTCTATTTTAAAAGTGTTTAACTCTTCCATACCTTGCATCAATTGCATGTGTACATAAACATATGTGATTTCACAAACATTGGGTTTTATACAAATTAAGCATTCCAGGTTCCAGCTCGAAACCAAAGAATTTCTCTGGACCAATCCAGCGAAAATTCAGTTCAAAAACCAAAGAAAATTCAGTTCAAAAACCAGAGAATTTCTCTGGTTTCAACCCAGAGAAAATTCAGCTCAACTCCAATGTCAACACCATGTGCAACCATGGCAGCAAGCTTCTGATCAACTCTCTCTCTCTCTCTGTAGTGTCGGATTTGAAAAATATATACATATGCATGGACTAGCTTCAACAAGGATTGGTTTCTCTACCAGTTTCTTCTCCTAATGAAGTTCCATCTTCAATGGAGGATGGTTTTTCAGCTCTTCCACCTAAAGTCCCAGATGTTGGGAATCTAGGGAGTGAGATACCTGGTCTGGATTCAGCTGTTCACAGTGTTGGATTGGCTGAAACACCCATCGTTTCATCATTGGCACCGACTGATTTAGAAGATGCCAGTCAGGAGCAAGGCACTAGTTTGGGTAGTTCAGTAATGGAATTAGTTCCATCGATATCAACCGATAGGTCTGAGGAACTTAGCCCCAAAGTAACTGTCACGGATGTAAGCAGTAGAAACTCCTTAACAGTGACTTCTATCGACCCTGCAACCACTGGCCAGAGCTGCTTCAAACCATTCGATCCTATCTCATCGTCTCTGATGATATATGTTTAACTGTTCGGCTGACGGAATTCTCGATTTACATCTAATATTTTCGTTGTTCGGCCGCCGCAGACGGCGTCGCCGGGGACACCAACTGGGCATTTTGCAGTCTACGTGGGGGAGGAGAGGCAGCGGTTCGTGGTGCCGACAGGGTTTCTCTCTCATCCTCTGTTCAAGATGCTGTTAGACAAAGCTTATGATGAGTTTGGGTTCCAGCAAAGAGATGGGTTGGTGGTTCCTTGTAGCGTGGCGGCGTTTCAAGAGGTGGTGAGTGCTGTTCAGCGAAGATGAAGCACTGGTTTGATGTAGAAGAGAGAGAGATAGACGAAGCACTGTTTGATGTAGGGGAGAGAGAGAGAGAGTAAAGAGTGAGAAGAGTCAAATTTCTCTGCTATATGTTTAGAGACCTTAGACATCAAAAAATATTTTTGTGGATCTCTTCCATTACGAAAAGTGAGGGAGGGATCCTAGACTAATTTTTCCAAATAATTAATATCCAACATTCTCTACCAATTATATTGTCATAAAACAGTACGTGACTGTACTCACAAACTACGGAGTAATCGCCTGTGATCTACACCTCTTAAAAGATGAAAAATTATCAAGTAGCTCTATAGTTTTATGAGGTATTACCTAACGAGAACCCTTGATAAAATATAAAATCACAAAACACATTAATTGAGTTATTTTTTATATTTCAATTTTTAAACAAAAATTGGGTTAATATTATTTCATCTATAAATTTTTTTTTACTATGCTAATACTTGGGAACACCCCAATATAAAACATTGTCACGTGATATTATAAAATTATTAAATAATTAATCCTAAAAATTTAAAGGATTAATTACACAAATACACATTTTTATAAGTGATAAGGCCAAAATATTCGAATACATAAATGAAGAGTAAAGTAATATTCACTCATAATTGAGTGTCTTGGTGTAAATAACCCAAATCTAAACCCATGAAGCCACACTACAAACAATGATAAGGTTAATACTATCCTCAGCTCAGCCCTTGGGGGAGGTTGGAATTTGGAACCCATTGAACAGTTTATCAGATATATTACTCTTACTTGGGGCCACTCTTAAATGGAAAGTTTTCTTCCAAATCTGCACATGAAATTCTCTCTTGAGAGCTATTCTAGGAAGTCATTCAAAATGGATCTGGATTTGGAAACTATGCTTAGACATATGTTCATAGGTTAAAAAGGCCAATATTGTCCATCTTGCAGAAGATATCATGTCCATGGCCTTCAACTTTAGCATTAATGTTAGGGAATCCAAGAAAGCCAGTGCTTCTAAACAAACTTGAATCTTCTTCGCCAGTACACTCTTTAGATAACCCATCTTATGAATTTGTTCTATTTTAAAAGTGTTTAACTCTTCCATACCTTGCATCCTTCGCCAGTACCCTCTTTCCAGGGCTAAGGCTTATCCTGAGCCAAAAAAGTAAAACTTTTCCTCACTTGCACTCATGTTCCTCACATGAAGAGTCCAAATGTTCCCATCAAGCACTCTTCAGCTTCTTTCGTTGCCGAATGGTCCTAAACAAAACATGGGCATACCCTTTTAGGATAAGCCATAAATTCACTTTAGACAACCTCAATAACGTACAAGCACAAGTTTCCAACATGTTAGGTCAAATTTCTCTCATTGATGTCATTTCCTCGCAATAATCATTAGCTATCGTACATCTTTGTTAAATCAAAAAATCAAATCTTATTAAAAATTCGTTAAAACAAAAACAAAAAAGTAAAAACAAATCACAATCAATACACATACAGGTGGAGGGAGGGGCGTAAAAGTGGTATTGCAGTAACAAAACCTTCAAATCACTTCTTCACTTGCCCACCTTAATCTTAAGGTTGCTCATCCCAACATCCACTTTTTGAAGGCTAGATTCGCTTTTCACTTCATTCTTGGTTGAATTCCTGATATTAAGCCATGGATGTTGCAGACACTGCTGCGCAGTTGGTCTATTCTCTGGAGCGAAATCAAGAAGGGGACAAAGAAACTCTGAAAACTCACGAGCATCGTTGTCAGAAAATTTGAATTTATCGACTAGCAATCGATCAAGTGGCCAGTATTTCAGTCTCCGGATCCTCTTCAGATCCCCGTGTCTGTCGAAGTAATCTTTGGATCGAGCCCCCCCTACGGCTATCTGTTTCACCAAACAAATATGGAAATGATCAGATGCAGCTTCTGTAGAGCAGGAGAGAGAATGATGTGACTCACCTTCCGTGGCATCTTTCCAAGGAGTTCCATTATTAGAGCCAGATGATCCTGCCAAAAAGACCCAACAGACAGCTACTTTAAAACATAATTCAAGCAAGTTCATTACAATAACAAACACAAAATGGTAAATCACTTATAATCACTGACCAAACTCTCGAAAACAAGAAGAATAAAAAATTACTAACAAATAAAATGCAATCAATAAGTCAAGGTGCTAAACAGAACATTCAACTCATAGTAATCCTTAATTACACATTGAAACAACAAATTCTGCTTAAAATCACTTCTTGTCCAACAGAAAAATAAACTCCAGTCCTAAAAAAATCTATAAGTGAGTTTCCAGGTGAGAAGGTATTAACCTCGTAACTATCACACCCTTGTGACACGGTGATGCTTATACAACTTGAGTATTTCATAGGGGTCCCATCCATAAATGATGGTAAATTGTAAAATCACTGCGGAAGGCTTCTGTTGGTCTGCAGCCATTAGCTTTTTCAAGTTTCTAGTTCGTAAAAATAAGCTGAAACATGTTTTTTAAAATTGATGCCAACTCCATATGTTGATTATGCCAGCATAAATCACGCTAGAATAAAATTGAAGTTTAAGGTTATTAGTACAAGCATACCACCTCTTTTCACTTCTGTTTTTAATTTTTTTCCCCTAATTTTTTGGTAGGGAGGGGCACTGCAAATTCTAATGATTCTATACAGCAATGGAATTATACTAGTGCACCAAATCAGAAGGTTCTCGTTAACGTATACCCTTAGGGTAGATGTTAAACAAGCATAAAAGATTGTACATTTTTTATTACACTTCCATGTGAAAGTACAAAGCATCTTAACATGTGCCCTAATAGCGATAACAAAATTCAATCAGAAAAGAGGTAGAGCCATATTACCTCATCATCACTAAATCCTTGTCCACTCTTGGGGGTAAACATCATTTCTCCTGTAGCAAGCTCAAAGGCGGTGCAAGCAAATGACCACATATCAACAGAGGAGGAGTACCCAGAGCAAAGTATAACTTCAGGGGCTCTGTACTGTCTTGTCTGAATTTCCTCTGCAAACTGCTTATCGGCCCAGCATGCATTTCCAAAATCCACAACCTTGCACCTCATATCAATCCCATCCAGGCATCTTTCCACTTTTGTACTCCCTCCCACCCCTCCCATTGAAGCTCGTCTTCCTATCCTAGCCACTGCTTTCCTTGCCCTCCTCTTTAACTGCTTTTCAACAATGTTCATGGTAGCTCCACCATTTGGATTCCCCTCAGGCCTTTCAAGAATTGGGGTGAGACCAGACCTAATTGGGTCCTTGTTAGGATCAATAGTAGAAATAAGAAGAATATTTTCAGGTTTTAGATCTGTGTGTATTATACCAAGTTCTCGATGCAGATAATCCAATGCATTCAAAATGCATTTGCATATCTCCCTCACTTTATTTAGCTCAAGACCTTTATAATGACTGTATTTGATCAACCGGAGTAGGCTATCACCAAGAAACTCAAGGACCATGCACAAATGCTGTCCATTTGGGCCCGTGTGCTTGAAGTGATCTACTAATTGTACAACACACTTATTATTTGAGGGGTTACCATCAGCAATAGCAGAAAGAACTTCGATTTCATGGAGAGCAGCTTGAGCAAATTGTGGTGCACTTTTCTGGATTTTAAGAGCAACATATCTCTACAAGGAGAAAACAACAACAATGTAAGCACTATCGTCCAACAAACAGATAAAGTCGTGGCTAATGATCAATAAACTTAGAAATGCTCAAAATAATAATACATAAATAAATTGCAAAATTTGTGAGGAACATTTTATGGAAGATACCAGCACAAGTTAGGCATTTGGATAATATATAGACGGTCTATATAAATCAAATGGCCCCTTCACAAAAGCTCCCGTTTGTAAAGGAACATCTTTTTTTAAAAAACAATATAAACCAGGTGTTGAACTCTAAACATAGATGGCTTGTTTAAATGGAAAACTAGGACCTCAATTAGAGAAACTTCTTGATGGGCTTATCTTTAATTTTCACTTTCGATTGTAAATTATTTTGGTACATTTATTACTTCACTAAAAAACTAACAAAATGGGTGTAAAATCTCTCTTTATTCTTCTTCTTCTTGTTACTTTGTTACTACTTATACATAGTTACAAATTAAAACATACCACATCAATGAACCATTAGGATTTGGGCAAATGAAATATGGTCCAACACACACCCCCCCCCCCCACAAAAAAAAAAAATGAAAGTGCGAAAGATAAAATTGTAACATCAAAGCACTGTAAAATTTTTGCATTTCACAAAGCATATGAACATAAAAAAAAACATCATCGTGAATAGTAAACATGACAGCCACCTCACATATGGTGATGAAAAATTAGAAATTTGTCATCCAAGAAAACCTTTAAACATCGTTCTAAAGCATCAATAGCAATTATAATGGAATTTCTTCAAGTTGACAAACATAATCTCCATCAAAAACTACATACAACGCAAGTAGCATCATTCAAACTCCACTCAGTTCCCAAAAACACCCTTCTATGTGTGTGTGGGGGGAATAATCTTAGCTACAGGAATCAACTAGGGGTGATGTTTCCGCTCTAGAACTGCAATTCAAAGCAAAATATGTTGGAACTGTGCTCACATTAAGATAGAATGTTTGTTCCAACTGGGATAAAGCTACTAAAACATATGAATCCCAACAAAATAAAAGAAAAACTCCAAGGAAAAAGAAAATCTATAGAGAACAAAAAGTCATCTTAGATTTTGGTTTTTCTCTTAGGAACTAAAAGATGGAAATTTTTTGATAAATCTGTTAATTTGATTTATATGGGAACTAAGGAGTAAAGATATATATGTTATTTGGTATGAATGGGTTACTTTGGTAATGACTAATGACAATTTACTATGTCTATGTCTATGTTTAACAATTTAAGTAGTAGTGTAATGTAGACACCTGACTCTTCTAATTATTTATAATGTTTTGGGGGGGTGTAGTAAAAAAACATCTCTAACTTCTCACATGAATAAGAGATAAAAAATTTATATTTTTGCTAAATCCTACTTAATTTCAATTATATTTCTAGATGATTTACAGTATCTTATCTACGAATATTATACAATATGATACAAGTGCCCATGGTGTGTCCCCGTACTCATATCCAACTTTTGGATACATATCTCAATATCCTAAGATTTAAGATTACGAAGATTGAACACTTAAACATGCACCCACACCCACACCCACACCCAATACTCATATCCAAGTCCATACAACATAGATTACAATCAAGCAACAAAAGTATTTCTTATAATGTATTTATATATTTAGGGAATTGTCGTTCACAATTCACTTCTTGTTGCCTACACTTTTTGTCTTTTTTTTAAAACACAATATGGGGTGTTTATAATAAAAAAGTACGAATAATAAGTCCTTATATTTATACATATATATATACACACAAAAATGCTCTTCTAAGCATTCCCAATTTTAAACTTTTCTCTGTGCCCTGCATCCTTGCTCACCGCCCCACCTCATGCAACTAAGGATGAGCTAACAATTAGATTTCCCCTTAACGAAATACTATAATAATCCATTCAATGTCCCACAGCCACCATGTAACTAAATTAGATTCCAACAGCTGCAATTGTATCAATTGTTTATACAACATTATCATTTCCTTCCAGTGACTGCTGAAGACCATGAAAAGCAACCGAATTACAGTACCATTCACTCTAAATACCAGTGTCGTGCAATTTATCCAAAAATATCATCATTTTAAAAAACTGGAAAATTTTGAGGGAGGAAAATTCGGCATCCTACTTATTAGCCCATTGGGACGTTACGAATGAATGGGCCTGCTAAAGTGAAAATAGATAGCTCACCATCCCAAACCAAAAGGATTCTATTGCCTGTTGGTTATTGATTTCTCCTTTTCATAGTTAAATTGCATAATCAGTACAGTTTCTGTAAACAACTCACCTGCTTGGCTAGTTTCGACCCGAAACCACCCTCAGAAAGCTTAGCTGAAGGGAAAGCGAGGGTCCGATCTTTCTGTTTTGCAAAATCCTTGTTGGTTTGAAGCAGCCATAGATACTATTCTATTAACACGTTGAAGAAGAAGTGAAGGAGAAAGAAACTGCATCAAGTTGACAGTGACGGTAACCCCAAAGGGGTTGGTCTGGTGGTCAAGGCATAGGGCCTGAGGATGTTTTCCTTCAATGGTCTCAGGTTCGATTTCTTGGGCAAGTCCATACAGGGGAAACTGGACCCCTGCTAGTGTATGGTGAGATTAGTCCCCGATTAGTCAGTACTTACGGCCAAATACCGAGTTATCAAGAAAAAGTTTGACATGGCCGGTGTCTCATTCTGGTTGAATGGTAAACTAGAAATGGGATGGCAGATATGAAAATTGTCTCATTTAATATCTGCATACATATAGATTATATAGGTCTTGAGAAAGAAGAAAGAAAAAAGAACCAAAAAAAAAGAAAAAGAAAAGAAAGCATCACTGCACTAACCCATAGACACATAATTAGCTCCTGCACCTAAGATCATAATTTGTAATCAGATCATTAGTAGGTGACCCAAAAAAAATATATATATATATATATAATAATCATTTATCTCAAATTGATTCAGTCGTAAACCCATCTCAATAAGGAACTAAATGAACGATACAGCACAATAATATTTAATAAATATGGAAATTAAAAATAAAATAAAAAAAATGGAAATTAAAAAAACCGTTACGAAATTTATTCCTCAAATAAATAAATAATATTCCTAATAAAAACAATAACTATTGACGAATCTCCCAATCACCATATTGCAAATCCCGTTAATGGATGATAACAGAAATGATCATAAGAGTATTACGGGAAGGGGAAAAACAAAAACAAAAAAGCTAAGATCTTTGAAAAATCCAAAATATTGAAAAGTACAGAAAACAGAAAATGCCGAAAAACGTACGGAGAATTGGATGTCGTAAGCGAGCCAGACGGTGGAGAACTGGCCCCAACCGAGCTTCCTCTGGGCGATGTAGCGGCCGCCGGAGAACGAATCGCCGACCCTGACCGCGTGGTAGCCGCCTTTCCTGTACGAATCGATCCCCTCATCTTCCTCCTCCGACCCACTCGACGACGAACACGACATGATCAATGATCAATCCTTCGACCTTCAATCTTCAATCAATCCGATCTTGGTTTTCTCAGTAGTTGGGATTGGATTTGTGGATTTGGATTGGTTTGTATTGTTGCAGTTAGGTTTGAAAATGATAATAATAATAATACAGAAAAAGAGGGGAGAGAGAGAGATGGAGATGTGTTTGGATGGATATATGTAATTGCACAGATTTAGAGAGAGAGAGAGAGAGTGTGTTCCACCTGAGAAGGGGAGACTGTTAATTGGTGTGTGGCCTTCAATACAAAACTCTCTCCACTTTTCTCTCCTTTTTCAGTACTTGTTTTGGTTCTCTCTCTCTCTCTCTCTCTCTTTCTTTCCTCAATCAAAAGCAACCAAACCATCTTTTTGTTTTGGCTAAATTACATTGTAACTCCTTCAAATTTAAAAATGTTAAACTTGTTGTATTTTCTTTAAATATTAAAGGTCTTTGTAATTTACCATTTTTCTATTTATTTTTTTGAAATTACAAATTTGTATAGAAAATATAAAAAAAAAAAGATGACAAATACGTGGGAGCGTAATTTTTTTTGAAAAATTATTTGTAAATCTTATTGGAGAGACTTATACTACATATGATCCTACTAAAAAATTTATATTCCCATAAGTTCTGTGAGAAGTTTGTTGACACATTTACCCTCAATATTAATTGTTAATATCATAAATAATAGTAAAACCATATATAAGAAATTGAATGTTATCATAGATCATATTTAGACAAACATAACACCAACATAAATCAGCAATATTTATATGAAACGAAACATGACACCAATATAAATCAGCAATATTTTCACATTCAATTTAAAAAAATAAAAACTCATTAAGTTTGCGAAATGTAACGTGACACGTTACGTTACGTTTATGTAGGTGTCACGTTACGTTACGTTTATGTAGGTGTCACGTTACGTTACGTTTATAGGTGTCACGTTACGTTATATTTGTGTAGGTGTCACGTCACGTTACGTTTATGTAGGTGTCACGTTACGTTACGTTTATGTAGGTGTCACGTCACGTTACGTTTATGTAGGATCTTGTGGAATACATTCCTATCTAAATAGGACTTGAAACTCTATAAGAAATTACACAAGACTTAACTTACCATAAGTGTCTGAAAAATGACTTATAAATAAAGCCTTGTTTGGCATAACCTATTTTAGTCAATCTTTTTATCTTTTTTAAGTCACATCAATCAACATCTCCTCTCTACTTTTTTACACATCTTTTTATAAAAAGTAAAAAAATACACTTATTTAGGGCATCCCAAACCACCCCCAATTTTTTTTCCCTTTTGTGCAAACAAAACACAACAAAAGTTGCACCCCAATTATTTGGTAAATAATTTCCCCCCTTCCCATCGTATTGTAATTTTTTTAAGATAAATTAAACACACCTCCCATAAAATTTAGAAAAAAATGTAATTAATTTTACAAATTTAACATAATTATATAGACCTCCCTTGTAATATTAAAACAGCTAAAACTATTGTAAATGATAAATGAATGCAAGAAAAAATACAAAGAAATATATATATTAGTACAAAACATATCAAAATATGATTTACTTTTTTAGGATAAATTACAAATACACCTCTTTAGATTCACTTAAAATACGAATTCTCTTTCGTGGTTTAAAAAATTACAAATATCCCATTATCATAATTTTTTATTTAATAAAATTGATTAAAAAATAAAATTTCTAATTGCTCTCTTATATAATAATAAAATTACATGAATTATTAATTAAAATAAATTTATAATGTCATTAAAAAATGTTAATAAACTTGATTATTTATTAATAAAATAGACTATTTGTTATTCACCAAAAAAAAAAGGACTATTTGTTATAAAATTATAAACTCCAAAAGGCGGAATGTAATTTCTAAAATCATATGCAATAATTCATATTTTAAGTAAATCTTATAAGATATATTTGTAATTTATTTATTTTTTATTCGTGCAACTAATAAAAATAAATTAATATAATGTGAATTAAAAAGTACATTGTAATTATATTAAAAATATAGAATTAATTTGGGGATCTTTTTTAGGGTCCATGGTATTAAGATTTTATAGCATAAAGGACATCTAATATTTTTATAATGTCTAGAGTTCCTCAACATCGATCCAGAAAAAATTAGATCCAGAGAATTTCTCTCCAAAAAAATTCTAAAAAAGCCAGAGAATTTCTCTGGATTGCAGCCTAGAGTGTTTATCAGGATTCTAGATTCTTTGGTTTTCACAAGAATTTCTCTAAGTTCAAATCAGAGAAAATTACACATAGCAAAGAAAATTAAACATACTAGAGAAAATTACACATGATAGAGAAAATTAAACATGTCAGAGAACATTAAACATGCTAGAGAAAATTATACATGGTAGAAAAAATTAAGCATGCCAAAGAAAATTACACACATGAGAGTGTTTAAGTACAGTTCTCTCTTCTCTTTCAACTTCCTTCCTCATCTTTTCCAAATTCTCTAGTTTGATCATAATTTTCTTTGTGTTTTGATCAAAGTAGAGAAAATTATGCTTTGACTTAACTAGAAAAAATTGATCAAAAAGCCAACACAAGGCGATTTCAATACATAGAAAAAAAAAAAAAAAAAAAAAAAAAAAAACACACACACACACACACACACACAAAATGCCAGCATTCAGATCAATAACAAAATTTTGAAATTCAAATATTTCACCACCATATTGCCCAATTCAATTGGTTGCTTAATGGGAGACTTATCTATAAGTACTTTTTCAGACACTTATGGTAGGTTAAGTCTTGTATAATTTCTTATAGAGTCTCAAGTCCTATTTAGATAAGAATGTATTCCACAAAATCTTACATAAACGTAATGTGACATGACACTTACATAAACGTAACGTAACGTGACACCTGTATAAACGTAACGTAACGTAACACCTACATAAACGTAACGTAATGTGTCACGTTACGTTTCGCAAACTTAATGAGTTTTTATTTTTTTAAATTGAACGTGAAAATATTACTGGTTTATGTTGGTGTCACGTTACGTTTCATATAAAGATAATCTATGGTAACATTCAATTTCTTACATAGGAAATTGAATGTTGCCATAGATCATAGGTGTCACGTTACGTTTATGTAGGTGTCACGTTACGTTACGTTTATATAGATATGACGTTACGTTATGTTTATGTAGGATCTTGTGGAATGTATTTATATCTAAATATGACTTGAGACTCTATAAGAAATTACATAAGATTTAACCTAATATAAGTGTCTGAAAAATGACTTATAAATAAGTCTCCCTTATAATTTTATTATTTTTTTTATAAAAATTAAAAAAGTTTAAAAAATTATTCTAAACAAGACCTTTTAACTCAAAGTTAAAATAGTAAAAAAATCAATTTACAACCCAAACAAACCCTGAGTTAACTAGCGTCTTGGAGTAATATTTTTTTGGGACTTACGTGTAGGTCTTAATAAGTGGATTTATTATCTAATAGGTCCTATAATAATTAATAATATTTTTTATTAAACATTATTAAAAAAAGTCATTAATTGTTAATTTTTAGTGATAGTTTATAAATTTTGTCATAAAAAATATCACTACTCATAAATTTTAGCGACAGTTTAAAAAAATAGTCACAAAAAAGGTCACTAATTTATAATTTTCAACGGTGTCACGTTACGTTTCGCAAACTTAATGAGTTTTTATTTTTTTAAATTGAACGTGAAAATGTTACTGGTTTATGTTGGTGTCACGTTACGTTTCATATAAATATAATCTATGGCAACATTCAATTTCCTATACGTTTATGTAGGTATCACGTTACGTTACGTTTATATAAATATGATCTATGGTAACATTCAATTTCCTATATAGGAAATTACATGTTGCCATAGATATAGGAAATTGCATGTTACCATAGATCATAGGTGTAACGTTACGTTTACGTAGGTGTCACGTTACGTTACGTTTATATAGATATGATCTATGGTAACATTCAATTTCCTATATATGGTTTTACTATTATTTATGATATTAACAACTAATATTGAGGGTAAATGTGTCAACAAACTTCTCATAAGACTTATGGGAACATAAGTTTTTTAGTAGGACCATATGTAGCATAAGTCTCCCTAATAGGACTTATAAATAATTTTCCCTTGCTTAATTACATTGAATTTTGATTAACAACATTATCAATCAACATTAAAATTGAATTCTCCTTTTCTTACTTATTTCCTGAGTTCTCTCAGTAACCAAAAACAGAGGGAAAAAAGGCATCATCTAACTGTTCAATTTTCATAATTGAACTTTAATTTCAAAGACCCATTTACAAAATCCTCAACAAAACCTAATTTAATCACAAAATATACAAATTAGTGTATGATTTTACCTTTCATTGGAGATTTCATTGTTGGCAATGAAACGAAAAAAGGGGCCTTGATTAGCTTTATCAAGCTCCTTCTGCTTAAAGTACTCCTGAAGCTCTTTAGCCTTTTGCCTCTGAAACTCCAGTGTAATCACACTATTATCCACCACCATTGCCATCGGCTTTAGAGGCGTTGCCGGCGAGGACGTAATAATCGTTGAAGTTGTCGAGTTTGAGGATGCCATCATCACAGCGTTTCAGGGCAACGGAGACATGGGTTTCTACGAAATCGATGGTGTCGGTGAACACTATGGCGATTACCGAGTACACTGACTCGAACACCTTGCAAATTTTCGTCAGAGTCACCATTGATAAAGTTCAAAAAAGAAAAAAAAAATATTTATGAGAGATAAGAGAATGGGTGTGATATATGGGTGTGGGTGAGATACATACTCATAAATAGGTGAGGGACGTTAGGCTACACAAAAAATATTGTGAACTTCTCTCGTTACTAAAAGTTGGACCAATTTTTTCAAAATAATATTTTTTTTTAAGGTCCCTAATATTAAGATTTTATAGTATAAAAGATATGTAATATTTTTTCAAATAAATTTTGATCCAGGGAAATTTCAAAACACATAAATTTCTTTGTGGTTTGAAATTTCTCTGGTTTGCTCGATTTCTCTGATTTTCTCTGTGTTTTGAAATTGATTTAAGTTAAAATTTCTCTGTATTTTAACCAAACTAGATAAAATTAAACTACAAAATTAAATAAAGATAAACTCATAGATAAATCATATTCATATATATATATATATATATAACCCCATCTACCATATCAGCACTCAAAAAGTCCATCCACCTTAAGCTGGTTCCAAAGCATATAGATCAATTAATTATAGTCTACATGACAAAAGCAGTGTTTACTCAATCACAAAAGCTTCTTCATGTCCATAAACTTGGGA